GAAATAATCTTTTTATACGACATTTTATTTACTAATAAACATAATGCTTTAAAAAGATAAGAAGTATAACGTTATTAAGTTTCGAAACTCAAAACAAGAAATCAACACTAAAGTCTCATATGAGAATAGACTATTTTAGTAATTTTTTAGTTTTTTTTATTAAAATATGAGATAAAAAAAATTAATATATTTAGAATGATTTTTTAGTTTTTTATAAAAAGATGTGCAAAAAATAGAGAAAAAATAAAATTTTTAATTTTTTGGTATAGGTTGTTGACTTTTTAATTTTTTTAATGACTTTTTAAATTTTAAACTAATTAGTGAGTTACCAAACAAGACTTAATATAGAATTGTACAATGGGGCAACAAAAGTTGAAGAGCTTTTAGGGGATACTCAAAAAGAACACGGACACTAAAAACAAAAACAAGAATAAAGGCCACTTTCGGGAGGTGGGTTAAAAGTCACATTCCGCTTTTAACCCATTTTGGATTACATCATCTCTCATATGTTTTTATACGTTTTTTTAAAAAAAGTTTTAAAAAGCCAAAAAATTAGATTTTAATCATTTTCTCAAAACACCCCAAATATAGGGGTGTTTTGAGAAATTGGTAAAAAATTGACTTTTGGCTTTTTACCAAAATTTTTAGTTTTTTTGGAAATTGATTTGAAAAGTTGGTAAAAAGCTAACTTTTGGCTTTTTTGTTTAATATTTGTTTGTGTTGTCACATCACATTAAAATGACCAAAATATCCTTACCTAACTTATGAAATTTACATTTTGACCCATGTATTTGTTTGAACTATTTTTTGGAAATGTAATATTACACTTTTTAAATGTTATGCAATTGAAATTATTAAATTATTAAAAATATTAAATTATTCAATGTTGCACTACACATCACATTAAAAATAATTAAATTATTCAATGTAACAATAAATATATCAATTTTTTGCAAACAAATTGCGCTCTTCCCGTTATTTTTTTTTTCCACATTTACGTTTGCTAAATGCAGTTGACAACCTTTGCTTTACCAAGACAACCAGACGGTTCTTATAACAAGTTGGACATTTTGACACATTCATATAATTTCTTGTCAATTGGTAAAGCCCGAACAGGATTACAGCCCAAGTTCACACCGATGTCGCACCAACTCATTCCAAATTGATTTCCTAACTTCGTTCATATGCACGTCATCATCGCCCTCTGGCTCACTGTCATCATCATCACCAACACCCGCAACATTTGGTATGTTGTTGAAAGTAAAGGTCTTAGCATTGGCAACTTTGTTGAAGGCTTCATCGTCATTTGAGTTGCGGCGTATAAAATTATATAGTGCCATTGAAGCCCCGACCAGTGGCATCTGCACTTTCCCAAAATCATATCGTGGCATTTTATGTAGGAATCCCCAGCGTGCTTTTCATATTCCAAACGTACGTTCAATTGCACTCCGTAAGGAGGAGTGGACTGTGTTGAAACCTTCGTTTGCATTTCTTGGCTGTCCAGTAACGCAAAACTCTTCCTGGTGGTATTGACATCCCTTAAATGGCTCCAAAAAGACTTTTTGGTTCTTGTACCCCGCATTAACAAGATAATATTTTCTTGGTTGTCATAAGATAATTTTGCATTAGTAACATCATTTATCAATCAAATGCACACAACTAACAAAGATGTGAACACCCCTAATTCAGCCAACCTTCCTATGGGGTGGGGAATTGTTTGGCTGGTCCTATGTTACTTCGTTAAAAACTCTGTCGTCGTGTATACTACCCTTCCATCTGCAAGAGATAAAAGTAAAGCACAAGCCGAAATCACACACTGCGAGTATGTTTTGCGTGTGTCGTCCTTTACGGCCAAAATATGGCGCTGCCTCCTGCAGTGGGAGATGTGCCTCCACGTATGTGCCGTCTAGCATGCCAATATAGTCCTGGGCATGCATACACAACAATTGTGTAAGCGAAAAGGACGAACACATTACGCCCAAAATTGTAATCCCTTGTTAACAAAAATTTGGTTACTATTCATGAAATGTCTGGTAAATGATTAAACTCACTCGAAATGGAAAATATTTTCGTCAGGACTCTAAGTACGGATGTCTGCTGTGTTGTGACCTCGTCGGTCGATATAGTGCACTTGTGAACAACTTCATTGTTTTAAGAACGCGCATTACATGACGCCATACTGTTTCCCCCGAGTGTTGGAAACAGTCTTCAATATCCCAACTTGAGAAGCCCCGCAACACGAATATGAACATGCCGACACTCTCAACTACGTCCACACCATGGGGATGTTGTGGTAGTGGGAGACCGAAATCCTTAACTAATGTCTTGAACACATCCTTTAACATCTGAAAATTTCGTTGCAATGCTTCATTCCGACCTTGAAGCATCTCCTTCATCCACAAGCGACCAGTCAATGATGATGTGTGAACTGGGGTCCTGTCAACATACGCATACTCATTGGCAATGCATGCAATTTCCACCCATATCATTGATGTCGTCGATTCCATTTCTCCGATCGTCTCTCGTATCCACGCATTTATTTGCCCATTGCGTACGACTCCGGAGTTAGTACGCTCTTGCGGATCCATGGACGCTGTAAACCATAGAAAAAAACTCATGCAAGAATTGCATACACTTTATAAAATAAGCTGGATTGGAACCATTAACATCGGGATAATAAAATGAAATAAAATAAAAAATAATTGTCTAATTTATCTAGGTTTGTTGACAGTAACCATTTTTTTACAGTTTCCAACATTTGCTTGCTAGAAATTGGGTTCCAATAAATATATTAAATGGTAGTGTAAATAGATATTAATGTGAGGCACGTACCACACCTTTGGCGGGGTTGTGTCACTGTGGACTGAACCAAAAATGAAATGAAGCAATTTTTTCACAGAATGGAAATTCGAAAGACAACGACAACTAAACTGATTATGTGCCACCAAGCTTTTGTTTCCAGACAAACATGCCATCATCTCCATATATAGCAATTGTTTAACAAGTGCCCATACCACATGCAACTGTTTCCATGTGATGCATGAAGAACTACAATTTGGCAATATCCTGTGATTCATGTACATGCTGAAATGTGGTTGATAGATTCCATGCTCATGTAGCCATCGCATTAGCAACAATAAGCAACAATTTTATTTGCATCACCAACATGTGACAGACAAATAAATACATAAATACTGCACAAGAAATATTTAAACAATTAAATAGGTATAGAAATATAAATAAATAAATAAATCGAACCAAAAATAAATAATAAGTTAATAAATAAATACAACCAAATTTAAGTAAATAAATAAATACATAAATACAGAAACTGTAAATAAATAAATAAATTGACCCAAAAATAAAAAAAATTAATTAATTAATACAAAAATATAACTAAATCAACAAATATAACGACAAATAAGTAAATAAAGTGTGAAAAATAAATAAATAAATAAGTAAATGCAATCGAAATTACAAGAAATATTTAAACAATTAAATAGGTATAGAAATATAAATAAATAAATAAATCGAACCAAAAATAAATAATAAGTTAATAAATAAATACAACCAAATTTAAGTAAATAAATAAATACATAAATACAGAAACTGTAAATAAATAAATAAATTGACCCAAAAATTAAAAAAAATAATTAATTAATACAGAAATATAACTAAATCAACAAATATAACGACAAATAAGTAAATAAAGTGTGAAAAATAAATAAATAAATAAGTAAATGCAATTGAAATTAAATAAATCAGTAAACAAATAAATACAGAAACTGTAAGTAAATAAATAAATAGAACCAGAAATAAATAAATACAGAAACTATATTTATTTATAAAAAAAAATAGAACCTAAAATCTATAAGTAAATAAATTAATACGTAAATATAAATAAATCAACACATATAACGCAAAATAAGTAAATAAGTACAGAAAATAAAAATAAATAAATAACTAAATACATCCAAAATTAAGTAAATAAACTAATAAATACGTACATAAAATGTAAGTAACTAAATAAATAAATTAATACAGCAAGATAAATAAATGAAAAAAGTGAATACAAATGAACAATCACATAAATAAATACTGAAATTTTCACTAGAAATTACCCCATAAATGTTGCAATTCCGTACACACTGCGACATACAAATCTGAAATGTAGTACATGATGCATACACTAGCTTCCATTGCCTTGCTTCATTTGAGAAGTCCATCATGTGACACAACAGTGCCATGTACTGGCTTGTACACTTTGTAGACATTACCCACGCCATAAACTACGGGTGAAAACCTGCTCCTTCCATCTACCAACATAAAGACAATTGACAAAAACCCTGCAACAAAAAAAAAAAAAAAAAATTGACAACAATAACAAACAAGAATAACATATAAATAGTTGGCATGCTTCCAAACTTAACTAAATGTACCCATCACAAGTGCAATTAACGACTAAACTACTAGCAAACATATGGTTCTTCTAAATACATATTTGGAAAAAAGAAGAAGAAGTCCAGATAACATTAAGGTCCCCAAACATTTAAACTACAGTACCATGGCAGCATTACAAAAGTAAGTGCAAGCGCAGAAGCTTAATCCATATCAACCACACCATCACTCCTGAACAAATGTACGTCCCGTTCACGTTCCCTACCAACATTGGCCGGCGTGCAGGCACGCTTTTCTGTTAACCAGCGAACAATGTAATCCTGGGGGAGGGACATGATGAGGTCGTGATTATCGGGTGAATCCATTATGCCGCAAGCGAATGAGAACAACTTACCGCCAGGCTCCAATCTAAGCGTGCTCATTAGCCTTGCAAGACAGTCACCAACAGTGTTCTCACCCTTCCCTGTGACAACATATTGCGTAATTTTCAATTCCCAGCATTGTTTGCTGACAACCTCCACAAGGTTGTCCATGCTACTGGCGACAGTACCAAGTGTTGGCCACTTGCGACCTTTTGCATTGGTTGATCCGTCAGTAGCAGACTACGGGGGAGCATCGTCGAACAAGGAACTATCCACCATGTTCTCCTTGACAGTATCATGGCCCAGATGTAGTGGTGTGCCAGCACTGAGAGGTCTTATGCCGCTGTCCTCAATTGCAATGGCCGCTGCAACATCATCATCGCGCAATTTAGTTGGAGTCCATGTATGTTTACCCGTCGCAGCTGCGCCAGAGTACACCCGTTCCATGAGCTCTAAGTGCTCTAGAGGCTTCATCTTGAACTTAGCAAATCAAGTGTTCATCTGAGACAAAAGAATAGACACATTCATATTGTATAATGTTTTACTCCAAAAATAATCAGTTCCAACAATTATTCAGAGCCAATAATGGAAAGCATGCAAATAAGTGTAAATGTATGCAACGTTATGCGGTGCACGAGAAAGAATCTTAACAATGTACTAACTAGTAATGAAAACATTAAAACTAATAATTGTAAACGTGGCACAATTATTTCGGACGATAACTTCAATGTATTCAGCAATTGCTTTGATTTTAGAAAGTAGTGTCATAAGCAAAATGTTGCATTACAAATCATAAAATAGTACAGGATTAAGGAAAAAAAAATTATCGCACGACGTACCGCTTGCATTTTTGCCCACCAATGGTCAGGAGCTATGAACAAACCCGTCTCTTGGTCGTACCCAAGTCCTGTCAAGCTTTGGCTGGCATTCTCCAGCTTCTTCCACACAACCCAATCTTTCTTCAAGTTGTCATACTTGTTTTTCATTTGTTTAGCTGAATGCAGAAGGCCGGTTTTGTCCAAGAACTTCTTCGCAACGTTCTTATACCCACTTATCGACAATCCGCACGGTTGTTGATTACCCACGTCCATTTCAGCTATGACGAGTTGTAGAAACAACTTTGTATTGTCACTGTCGAACTGGCATTTATGGACTGGTTGTTGTTGGGTTGATGTAATTGCCTTACCTCGGTTCTTGGAAGGGGTATGGGCTGACGCACGGTTTGTTGCCATGGCAAGTGCGATTGGTGTAGATGGAATTATAAGACATGAAATCTTGCTTGTATAGTTAATGATGTATCAGTTTAACAAAATTGGAGTATATGTTTTTCATGTCCACATCTGAAACCCAAGTCTATAGACAATTAAATAAGTTGTACATATACTAGTAAAGAACCCCAACAGAATAAGACAGTTTTTATAACACTTTGTAGAAATATTATGTCATACAGGATGAACACAGTACTGATAACAACAACATAGGTGATACAAAACCAAACGTGCATGTCACAACATCCATAACAATGGATCACGTACGAAACAACAACACAAAAACACCGACGCACAAAACACCGACGATAGTCCTAAGCATACGTAAGCTCTGATCTATGCGAATAATGTCCACACGTAACCCGTATTGATAACATTAAGTAGGTGGTCAATAGCAATTTTTTCACTGCGAAACTCGTCACACCAACCAACCTATGCAACACATCACTGTCGTACAACAGTGAAATACATAGTTAGACTGCATGATATGCGCCATAACGACAAATGAACAAGCACATGACTAACTGCATAAGAAAGGGACAACACAAACGCATCGTACGACTAGGGTAAACGTAGTACGCAGGCCCTAGGTTTTTGACAGATCTGGAAATCTTGACAATGCAATGTCTAAAGCCATATGCACACATTCTCGATGGCCGTGACGAACTGGCAGTTGACATGGACGACTCCATCTCTATAATCTTATTTTTTTTGTTGCCAACCAGTCAATCTGTTTTCAACTGCAAAACTGAATCTATAGTTTGGTCGACGGTGTTTTGTCAATGGTTTGAGTATCTTTATTTATTTGTGACATTCGGGTTCGTTAGTTGCATTCGTTGTGTTTGTTGGGTATTAGTTGACAACCTTTGTCTTGTGAATAGTATGGGTAATTCACTACTTGTTCTATCCCACTATGTGAATATAAATATTTATGTAGAAACAGCTCTCCCTTTGTGTAAATTTTTATTCAAAGAATTCATGTCATATAGTATTAGAGTCAACTAGCACGTTGAGTATTTGATTGAATAAGCTTCTCATCTAACATAGAATTATAAACACAAATACGCACACTCAATAATAGAGGCTACGCCACTATTTTGTTTTAAAGTGTGGACAAAGTAAACACTTGAAAATCCATACCTGATGACCTATGAGATAATGTACGATAATTAGGAATTAAAATTAGTTACCATGAATCTCTGGATAATGGTCTTGCTATAGTAAGTCAATGAATTAGGTTCAAAGGTAAAACCAAAAGATATCATTTTAGGTTGTGGAGTTTAAAATAAACGCAATATTGTTAATACTATTTCACTTTAATTTTAAACTCAAACTATTAAACAATGTATTATGTTGATGTGTCTTACCCTTATTTAAAAAAAAAAAAAAAACCGTAACAAATGATCCTTATTATCATGTAATTACAATGACATTGCAAGTACTACACTATTGCATGAGATCAACATTCACGTAAGTCAACAGAGTATGAAGATAATTGATTGGAACCTGGGTTCAACACACATGCTAAGACCTTGGTTTTTCTTCCCTTTTGCCCTGTTAGTCAAATATGCATTTTTTGAGCATATGTTACCTAACAAATCTAGCAATGATTGGAGGGGCAAACATGTCAAGCAGCTAAGCAAAAGTGACCTTTAAAAAAAAAAAAAAGACCTTTAAAAAAAAAAAACAATAAAAGAAAGTTACAACCATGTCTCTCTCTCTCTCTCTCTTTCCTACAAAACCCAAATATGGAATACTCCACTCTAACTACACATGTATGTCAAAGTATTTATCCATGTAATTCTACACATCATAAATGAATTACACAAATTTTTTAAAGTATTTGGATGCTCAAGGCTTAATTGAGCTAGAAGCAAAACACATTAAGCTCACAAGAACATGAGATAAAATTGTTTTCATATATAACAAAATCAATCTGGGTTAAAGGCATTGTAATTAAAATAATGTTGTTGTAATTTGGAGATGAACCACTCCATCTTCTCTTCTCTTCTCTCTCTAGACTGCAATAACCATGTATGTACATGTGTGTTCCTCTTTGTCTCCTCATTGATTGCTTTTATTTTTTCCAGTTGGCTGCATTGGTGGGATAATAGGCACCCAGATCATTAAGCAAAGTTATTGAATTTACAAGTCTCGTTTCATTAAATTAGTAGTTTCTGTGTTGTTGATGAAATTTTGACAAATAAATGAGTGCTCATTATTTAATTCATTTGGTTTGTTTTGTAGTTTACTGAAGATGAAGATGAGATTTTTAGTTTACTCATTTGGTTTCTCATAACCCCCATCTCTGCTACTCTCATATAAGTTCCTTGTTATTTTTTTTCCACACCTTGTTTTTTTTCTTTTCATGTGTAACAGATGCCAACCCAACTGCAGCTATGAGGAAAGAGAGTAGCATAAACAGAGAGGTAGTGAGGGCGTTGTTGTTCTGTGGTTATAGAACACGGACGACATATAACTCCAAAATACAACATGATAGAGGTAGTGAGGGTTCAAGTGAAAGCCAAAATCCTCAACAATTACAGCATATAAGTGTTGAAGAAAGCAAATGTGCAAGAGGTTGACGAATACATTTACGAAATAATTTCGAACCAGACAACAACGACACATGGGTTCCGTGCTTACCTGATGTTGTAGATTTACCAACGGTGAGGACGTAGACGGCGACGCCGGAGGCAGCTTCAGCGGTGGATGCTTTCATCTCCGATTGTTGGACAGTTCGACACTAACGGTGAGGAGGAGAAGTGATGAAGAGAGCAGCGACACAAATGAGATGTTTTTGCCCTAGGATTCAACTTCTAACCACGGAGGGTAGTACCATCATTTCACAGCCTGCATTCTGTTAAAGTTTCCAAATGGTGTTCTACATTTTTAGGTCACAAGATTTTCATTTTTGGAGGTGCTGAACGCAGCTTTTACCTGTGTTCCCAAAAGACTACATAGATTGAAAACCAGTTACCTATCATTGCATGATATATATATATATATACATACATATATTCATGGCTTGGATAGAGTGAGTAAACCCTAAAACTAAGAACAAGAAAAGAAGAAGTGATCAAATGAGTATTGATTTGAGAGGAGAGTGATGATGGAGAAGCATATCTTCTTCAATAAGAGAAGAATATATTTATGTATGCAACCTGTGGGGATGTATTTTCTGAATACCAACACGTGGCAAGGTGACGCCGACGTGTCAGCCGACGTGCCACGTGTCCTGGTTGTTACGCCGAGGTTATCTCGGCAAGGCCGAGGTTATCTCCGAAGATATCGGAATCCGAGATAAATGGATAAAAGATAAGGGACAAGAGTCCTAGAGTGATGAGGAGACTTAGCCAAGATAAGGATAAAGCTCTTAGGGAGTTTATCTTTATCTCTTGAGGAATCCAAAGTAAGCACTGAATGAGAGTCCATAGAAGTCAGGCTTCTAGTGGGACTAGGTTTATGTTGGCTATAAAAAAGAGGCACCCCCGTGGGTCTAAGGTACGCAGTTTTATGCTTTGAGTAGTAAGTTTAGCACTTGATTATCTTTGAGAGATATACTGACTTGATCGTCGGAGTGCCCCCGGGTGGAAGAGCCACCGCCGGAGCCTTTTCTTTCTGTTGCAGGTTCGCTGAAACCATCTATTTTGCCGGTGCTCTTTAGCTGATTACTAGGCGGGCAGTGTGGTCAGAAAATCACCTGCACAATTTGGCGCCGTCTGTGGGAAACTTAGAAGAATAGATGGCCAGTAACGGACAGAAGGAAAACATTGGGGGCGACACTCCTGTTGGGAGTGACAGATCAATTGACCTTGACATTGAAGGAGATAACCACAATGCAGAAACTCATGACCAGGGCCACAGAGAGAAAGACGTCGACCAGGAGGGCAACACTTCGAGGAGGATAGACCAAGACAAGTACTATCATGAAGACAACCTTTAGGTATGGAGGGATAGGTGCCTACGGAGGGATGGGGAAGTAAAAGAATTGGCGAACAAGTTGGCAGACCTACAGTCGGTCGTCAACTTCATGATGCAAAACAATGTCATGCAACCACCATACCCGCTGCAGGATACGCCGATGCCAGCAACTAATACCCAGAAGGGAGAAGGAAGAACAATTCTCGAAGTCCCTCAGCACGCCAGGAGTAAAGAAGACTTAAGAGATTACCTCAAGAGGAAACAATAGAATGCTGAAGCCGAGGTAACTTCCCCGGTTAAGCCGAAGACACCATTCTCGGTGAAACTGGACAAAATTGAAGCACCAAAGAGATTCAGTATGCCGAGGTTCCAAATATATGATGGTAAGTCAGATCCCAACTTTCATGTTGGACTATACTTGAATTCAATGGCATTATATAGTGGGAATAAGCTGTTGCTCTGCAAAGTATTCCCCTCATCCTTCGGGAAAATTGCATCAGATTGGTTCCATAAACTACCGAAGGGAAGTGTAAAGACTTGGGAAGGCCTGGTCGAGATGTTTGTGGCCAGGTTTGTGACAAATAAACTTCAGCCCTTGAGGGTCGACGCATTGATGGGTTTAAAGATCGCCAAGGATGAAGGCCTTAGGGCCTACGCAAAAAGGTACTATGAGGTGTTCAATCGAATACCCGATTGTAACCAAGAGGTGGCGGCCGTGTCCTTCAAGAACAGCTTGAAGGATGACTGCCCACTGCGGAAATCTTTGGCAAAGACATTGCCAAAAAGCATGGAAGAACTCATGGCGAGAATAGAGAAGTACGCCAGAGCCGAGGAAGATATGTCAGGAAATAAATAAATAAAGCAGGAGAAAGGAAACGGCTCGCCGAAGCGAAGCCGAG